ATAGTATTGGGTTGGCCAAAAAGTTCATTTGTTGTTGGGTTTTTTTGTTTTTTGTTTTTTCATAAAATGGCTCTAGTAGTGCTTTGTTATCTTGAACTTCATTTGAAATAATTTTGTTAAATTGTATTGTGATAGCTGTTATGTCGGTGTGCATTTAAAAACTTTATCAAAAATAGGGGACTTCCACCAAGATGGAGGCGTAGGTGGAAGCACTGCACCTTCTCACACAACCAAGTTTAAAAACAACAAAGTTTTAGCAACAAAAACGCAGCCAAACCACAGAAAATTGAACTACACGGAAGTCTGACAACAACAAACACTTCAGCCAAACCGGTAAGAGGGGCAGAGCCAGCAGCAAAGCAGGGTCAGGCAGGAAAGATCCACTGGACCAACCTGGGAGTGCAACCCAGGTGCACCAGCAGCCGTGGGCAGATCCCAAGTGTGGAGAAATGGGCAGACCCACTGAGGGTGGACCATGGTCACACATTCGCATGCAGATAAACCGGTGAAGGAGCTAGCAGTGGTGAGACGGACCTCACGGGCCCCAGCAGCAGAGCTGCCATTGTCCCTCCCTGACCCCGCCCCCCACATACAGCATCACAAAACAGCGACCTGGGTGGCTCTGCCCTGGTGAACAACTAAGGCTCTGCTCCTCATACGTAACAGGCACGAACAGATCAAACATGGCTCAAGAAGAATTCAGAGCCCCAGAGCCGATAAATCTAAGCGACCAAGAAATAGCCAAACTTTCAGATGCACAGTTCAAAACACTGGTGATCAGGATGCTCATAGAACTGGTTGATTTCAGTCACAAATTAGAGGAACTTATGGAAGCTAAACTAATTGAAATGAAGGGAAATACACAGGAAACCAATAGTAATGGAAAGGAAACTGGGACTCAAATCAAAGGAGTGGATCAGAAAGAGGGAAAAAAATGACCAAACAGAAAAGGATGAAGAAACAAGAATTCAAAAAAATGAGGAGAGGCTTAGGAACCTCCAGGACATCTTTAAACACTCCAACATCCAAATTATAGGGGTACCAGAAGGGGAAGAGGAACAGCCACAAGTGGAAAACTTATTTGAACAAATAATAAAGGAGAACTTCCCCAATCTGGCAAAGGAAATAGACTTCCAGGAATTCCAGGAAGCTCAGAGAGTCCCAAAGAAGTTGGACCCAAGAAGGAATACACCAAGCACATCATCATTATATTAACCAAGATTAGAATGAAGGAGAGAATCCTAGAAGCAGCAAGAGATAAGGGGACAGTCACCTACAAAGGAGTTCCCATCAGACTCAGACTGTCAGTGGATTTCTCAAAGGAGACCTTACAGGCAAGAAGGGGCTGGAAAGAAGTATTCCAAGTCATGAAATCCAAACACCTACAACCAAGATTGCTCTATCCAGCAAAACTTTCATTTAGAATGGAAGGACAGATAAAGTGCTTCTCAGATAAGATCAAATTCAAGGAGTTCATCATCACCAAGCCCTTATTATATGAAATGTTAAAGGGACTTATCTAAGAAAAAGAAGATAAAAAAGATGAACTGTGAAAGGACAGCAAACTCACAGTTATTAAGAACCACACCTAAAACAAAAGCAAACTAAGAGGACAGCTAGATCAGGAGCAGAACCATAGAAATGAAGATCACATGGAGGGTTAGCAACAGGGGAGTTGGAGGAGGAGAAGGGGGGAGAAGGTACAGAGAATAAGTAGCATAGACGGTAGGTAGAAAATAGATAGGGGGGAGGGCAAGAATAGTATGGGAAATATAGAATCTAAAGAACTCGAGACACGTGGTCATAAACTAAAGGGTGGGAATGGTGGAGGAGGGGGTGTGCAGAATGGAGGGGAATGAAGGGGAGAATAGAACAACTGTAATGGCACAATTAATAAAATATATTAAAAACAAAAACAAAAAACAGTGTATAGCCCTGGCTGGTATGGCTCAGTGGACTGAGCACTGGCCTGCAAACCATGTAGCCTTTTTAATACTGACGGTGGGAGAAAATACACAAATTTTTAGCACATTAGCTTTATTATTGCAAGAAAGGTAAAAACACAACAGAAAGGCAAAAAAAGATGTGTGCAGCATATGGAAAAGGTTCTGTGACTGATCAAATCTGTCAAAAGTGCTCTGTGAAGTTTGATGCTGGAGATTTCTCGCTGGATGATGCTCCACAGTCAGGCAAACCAGTTGAAGTTGATATAATCAAATCAAGACATTAAATCAACATTACTGTGGGAGATAGCTGACATACTCAGAATATCCAAATCAATACTTATTGGTGAAAATGAAAAATGTGTCTTTTATTTTATGGAAAAGAAACTAAACAAACTTTTCGGCCAGCTCAGTACTCATTATGATTACCATAAGGAGAAACCTTCACCAAAAATGTGTGTGCCCAGCCCCTCCACATGAGGTCAAGAACACAGACTTTCTGCACTTCTCTCCTGCTTGTTTTATCTGTTTCCATGCATGATCTTGGCAACATTTCCTCCTCTCTGTGAATTCCTAGACCACATCCATTTTATCTTTATCTCTACCATGTAATTATAATTATTTGCCTCCTTCACTACAATAAATTCTTCTTTTGATCAAAATTGCCCACTGCACAAGTGCTGAGTGCCCCGCCAGCCTCATGTTTCCACTGCACCCCATTTGGGTTTCAGCTGCACTGAGACACTTACTCCTCCCCCAGCCTCCACATGTTCACCTTCTCGGGCTCCACTGAGCCTTTACATGCACCCTTCCACCTACATGGCCCATCTAAAATCTACTTGTCTTGAGATGTGTCTTGAGTGCTGCTCCATCCAGGAAGTCTTCCCTGGTCACTGCCCCACTTCTGCAGTCCCACATGCTCCTCCTGTATCCGTGACAGCATCCTTCGCAGGTTAAACTCAGTTGTGAACATATTTGATTCCTAGAAGACAGCACCCATCTGGTCTTTGCTTTCCCCTCTTTGTTTTGGTGCTCAGAGGTGTCGAATGAGGATTCCTCATTTTCATTTCATGGCACTGAAAGCCTTCAGGCTCAGGTGTGTGTGGTATAGTTCTCCAACTGTGCTCCAGCCTCAGTAAGGAATGCGCCCTGTGACCAGCACTTCCTTCTCGCACCCCTTCCCTGGGCACTCCTTTATAAAGTTCATCCTAAGTATCTCTACAAGTAACTCCTTACAAAGCAGAAGTTTTGGCAGGCACAGTATTTTTGGAACCTGCCAAGCCAGGAGGATTTAAGGCAGCTTTTAAAGACTTTGCAAATGCCATTTATACCATAGATATAGCAGCAGAATCTTTCTGGCTTTCTTAGCTGCAAAATAGTCTCAGCCAAGCTGACACTGATTGCGTTGGCCTGCAGCAGAGGTAATTGATTCATTATACACAAAATTTTCTGTTAATGGAAATCAGAACTTTAAGTGCTGATTGAAAGGAGAGCTGATATATCAGGACACAATTACCCTCTAGACCAAATACAATGACACTCTTAAGAGTGCTTTTTAATTGTTTTATCTCCTAAACCTAATTATTGTTAGCCTTGCAGGTGTCTAATAATTAACTTAGTCTTAGAACATTAAACCATGTCCTTTTGTCTTCACCCCTCCCATTCTATTTCATATTTTGCATGTCTGGGTTGGGGTTTTATATCTGCTTCAAATCCACCCACATGTGGGTGGCTTTTATTAAAAATACCTTATAAAGCAGGGATTCAGCTGAATCCCTTCTCTGGGAGAAGGATGATTTCTTGAGAGAACCAAGAAGTCTGAAGAGATCTTCACATTTCTGTAGTTTATAGATGTGCCTCGAGAGCTTATAATGACAACTGCCTCTCCTCCAAGTTCAAGATCACCACTCACCATGTTGGCTGACCCAAAAGCCGAGACTGCAGACTGGCTGCACTCACACAGAGTCAAAAACTAAAGGGAACGCCAGGCCGAGAGGATTTCCTCTCGTCCCAGCTTTCTTCACAGACACCCTCCCCTGGGGCTGCACCGACACCCGTGGGCTTTCCAGCCTCGTAATTAAACCCATTGACAGTTTTCCCTTCTAGCTCACTTGTAAAATAAATGCTTCCATTCGGGTTCATTTTGCTCTTTCCATGTCCGTGTCCAGTGTGTGTGCAGTGATGATAATGGTGGTGGGGGAAGGAAGTATGGTGTGCCTGGAAATACATGCTACAATTTTAAGTTTCCTTAGCTTGCTCATAATTAATTCAGACACCAAGGATTGAGGGATCCATGAAGGCCTGGGAAGGGATGGGTGTTCTTGTGCTAATGAAACATAGCTGCATTTTAACATCCCGTTAGTAAATGCAAATCAAATGGAAAGGGGTTCACCATGGAGTGGTATTCTCTCTCTCACTGTTTTCCTTTTTCTCCCCACTCCATCCTCTTTTTCTGTTCTCTAACTCTACCCACTTTGGGGGAAATTAAGTGTGGTATTTGTCAGACACGTGATCTGTATACCTCTCAAAGCATCCGTTTTGTTCTGCACAGATGAGGTGCTGGCTCTCTGGTAGCTCTGGCCCAGGACCCCCTTATGTGCTCCTCCAAGAAAAGGCCTGCTGTGGGGACCCTCCGGGCGACAGGACATGCCGTTTCTGTTCACCAGGCTTCATTATTTTGCTCACTGTGGCATCAGTGCTAGTAGTCTTAGTTCTCCCTTCACCTGGGAATTTGAGGGGATGACGAAATCTAATTTCTTCAGGAAATCTTTGAAGGGGAAAAGTTCTCTCGATTGATTGATTGATCTATCAACCGATAGATGAATTTCCCTTACGTATATGTGCATGGATGTGGACGCAGATACAAACTTGAGCTATACACACTAACCATAGATGTAACCATCTATTTGGCCTAAAGGAACCCTGGTAAGTGGTCTGGAGGTATGGGGAGGTCTATCTGTTCTCTCTGTGAATGTCTTTTACTTTGTCCTTAAATGACATATTCTCTAGGAGTTTGTCTTACATCTCTGTAAGTGGTGACCGACTCTTTTTTCTCAGGGAAGAAGATGAGTACTCAGAGCTTCGATCAGAACTCAGCCAGAGCCAGCAAGAGGTCAACGAGGACTCTCGAAGCGTGGACCAGGACCAGACCTCTGTCTCCATCCCTGAAAACCAGTCCACCATGGTCACTGCTGACATGGGTGAGTCTGCCTGCCATCACCACAGAGTCTGGTTTCCACAACAGGAATTTATAGAAGCATGAGGCAGCCAGAATTAAAATTTAATTAATCACGGAGTTTAGTGAGTAGATGAAGGCACGCCCATTTCAGTCCCTTACATACCACTTTGTTGGTCAAAATGTAACTAAAGAGTTGAATTAGCTTTCTGTCCCAATGTTTGTGAGTCAAACTTGTGTCACCTCTATTTGAAAAATCTGCAAGTAGGGAAGGGCTTATAAAGGATATTGGAATGCTCCAAGTCACAGTAAAATCTGCATCGCGGTGCCAGGAATGGGAAGGCTAGAATGGGTGGTGACACAGTGCAGCTGAACCAACAGCAACTGCTGGGTAAAGGGGAATCCACAGTGGCTCTAATATGTTGATCCTGAGTGACTAAGAGAATGATCATATTCCCTAGAAGGAATATTGGTTCAGAATTGAATTGGGAAATAGACGTATTATGTTTGAAGTTGGAGAGAAACCTCCATGTGGAAATAAATATTTGGTACAGTGTTCATATGATGTGTTTTTAAACTGCAGGTGATGACCCATTAGTGGGCCTTGAAATTAAATGAAAAATAAAATATTTTAAAAATGAAATCAAATAGGAAAAAATAGAATGACAGTATTGTTTCCTGAAAATTATGTTATGTGTGTATATGGAATAAGATGCCCAATGAAATGTTCCAAATGTGGGTTGCAGTCAGAATGTTGCAAAACCACTGGTCTGCTTGGAGATGCCTGATTGGCTCTCTAGAGAGATTGAGGTTGAGGATGAAGGCTTTGAAGTTGTAAAGTAAGATCCCTGTGATCCAAAAGGTGTGGCAACAAAGGAGGGAAGAGACCCATATCTTAGGAAATGTTCACATTTGGGGAGAGATGGATGAAGTACTGGAAGAAGGAAGAGTAAGATCACGCAAGATCTTGTAGACTGTGTGAGAGTTTGATCTTTATTCAAAGATCCATAAGAATCAACTAAAGATTTTAATAGTGGGCGGGGGAGGAAAAGACAACCAGATTACATTTTGAGTCAATCACTCTGAAGTGGGGAGAAAGAATCAGTGAATCAAGAGTGAATGGGGGAGGCCAACTAGGAAACCACTGAGAAAGTGCATGTGGGCAGAATGGTGGCTGGGCTGTAGGGTGGTGGCCACTGAGAGGTAGGAAAGCAGGTGGGTGGAGAAAAGGCATAAAACGGCAAGATGTGGCCGAAGGATCAGAAACAAGGAGGAGGTGTGTGTATGGACATGTCCCATATGTACGTGTCTGGACTGCACAGTGGGTGCACAGGGGTGGGGCCAGTCACTGATACGGGGGGATAGGAAAAAGGACCAGTTGGTTTGTTTTGCTTTCAGTTTTGTTTTGTTTTGTTTTGTTTGTGGGGAGGGTGGGGTGGAGATCATATATTTTGTTTGGACATAAGTTTGAGGCATCTGGAGATTTCTGGGTGGAGATGCTTGGGAAGGCAGTAGGTGTGTATAAGAAGCTAAGAGGAGAGGTGCAGGCTGAAGAAAAGCAGCTAGGAGACAACAGGTTGTTTTATATGGTTTTCAGCAATAATTCCATGCATCGAGGACACTAAGCCTTGGGGGTCACCAGCTGATAAAGAGACTCAGCAGGAGCTCATTGGCAGGGGCGGGCACCTCATGGTTTTGGTCTGGGTTTAGATGCACCTCCTCTGAGAGCAGCTCCTGAGCAGTACTGTGCAAGCCCCTGTGCTGACTGTGCCACCACCCCATTGGATCTTCGTATGTCACACTGAAATTTTAAATGGCGTATTTCTATTTTGTTGCTTAACCAGCTCTTCCCAGTACATTCAACTTGGCAGAAGTGTGCTTGTTTTATCTACTCGTGTATCTCCAGAGCCCCACTACAGGGCCTGACTTGTCATATGTGTTCAGAAATACTACTCTGGATGAAAGAGTGAGGCAATCAGCCAACACATTGAGCAGTCGATCAGGCAGAGCTGTATGAGGGCAACGAGGGCAGTGGAGTCCAGAAGCTGGTGGGCAGAAAAGGCTCTAATAAGGAAGAAGGGTCAGTGGGCTGGACTTCTGCTAAAGCTGAATGAGACGGATTTGGCTCCATCACAGTCATTGAGCGCTGACACCAAATGAGCTAGACAGAAATGCTTGAAGAGTGGGGACACCTTCCCAGTCTTGGGGTCTTGGCTTCAAGCAAAACTGCCTCTCTCAAACCTGAACCCAGACCCCAGCCCCACCATGGACCCAAGTCATACATGCTAAGTCACACCAGCCTCATAATCTAACCCTGTGGCCCCAAGCTTCTGCACTGTACTTCCAGCCTTAGGCAGACAGATAAGTGCAAGCAGCCAAAAGGTTGCCAGTTACTAGAGACATTCCTGCGCTGATCCCTCCATTCATGTCTCTGAAACTATGTTCTATGAAATTGAATAAGTGACCTGTGCTCCAACAAAGTTTCTTAATCAAATAAGGTTGGGAAATGGAGGCATAAAGCCACTTAAATGGGCCAAGGGCTTTTACCAAGGGACTTCACAGGGCTCCTGACATGGTAGAGCATCTGTAGTTCAGGCTCCTCATTTCTTTCCATCTCTTTCTTCATTAAAAAAAATATGCTCATTACAGCAGGTGGTAGCATTTTTCCTGAAGAAACTGAGCTTCTGGAGGGAAGGAACTCTGTCTGCCCAGTGCCCGTATATATCCTCTGCACACAACAGGGGCCTTCATTCATTTTTTCAGAAACTCACGCAGAGCCGTGTCGGGGACTGGGGATACAAGAGAGAACCTGCCATCAGATGGCTGTATGCCCCTGCTCCTATCCCTCCCACCTAGAGGGACATCCCAACTTCTTCCCATCGCCTACAGGGCCCCCAGAACCTGGGCATTCCCCACCTCAAACCTCAGACCGCATCCTCATCCTCCCCAGCTATCTAGACCTATCTTTTATTCCGATTCTGCCTTCACTGGCCTGCTCACTGACCCTCAAACCTGACCGACTCCCTTGCCTCAGGGCCTCTGCAGTCGCTGCTGCCCTGCCCATCTGCCCCTCCCTACAGTCCGCCTTGGCTTTCTGCCACAGCCAGTCTTCTCTCATCGGAGGCCTCCCTGAGGCCTCTGGGTGGAGGGCCGCACTCACTCTCTCACACTCGCAGGCATGCTCTTCCCGTCACAGCTTTCTTTGTCTTCGTAGCGCTTAGCACTACCTGATGATGTCATGGCTTGCATTTATAATTATTTGCCCCGTATTACCAGTCTTTATCAGGCTCTCCCGCTACCTTGAGGCTCCACGTGGACAGCTCTCCTGCTTACCAACATAACAGTCCCGCACATAGTAGGCACTGAAATGTGTGAGTAGCAGTAAATGCCATTTTGGAGCTCATGATTCTTTGGGGTAATGTAGACAAGGAGACAGGGAGTGACCAACAGTGGGTGACTAGTGACACCCTCGGATGGGAGCATTGGAGAATAAGTCGCATTTAAGGTACATTTAAACTGAGGGACAAGTGGGGACAAGGCAGGCGAAGAGCAGGAGGCAGGAGGAGAGTGCTGTGGGCACAGGGCCCAGCCGGCCAGGTCCCCGGGGAGGGAAGGCCCTGGGAACAGTAGAGGAGGCTCGTTCAGGCTGCAGCAGAGTGCATTCCCTGCGTGCGTGCATCGGAACTGGACGTCTGGCTCCTCTGAGTCCTCTGCCATTTTCCAATTAAACTGCTTCAATCAGGAAAAAAGCTTCCATATATAAACACCATTATAGGAAATCATTAAAAAGCAGCCATTTCATTACGGTTGCTATATCTGCAAACGTGCATTCGCAACCCAGGGGTTTCCTTGAGCTGGATTTTATGTGCAAAATTTGCTGCCATCTGTTTGCTGATCTCCATTTAAGATAACAGGAGTAAGTCCAGCCTCTTCCTGACATTAAAAACGTACTTTTGTCTTTGAACTGTGCGCCATCAGAGCCAAGGGTGTCCCTTCAGTAAGCGGGCTCCTGGGCACTGCTGTCAGGGCCTGGAGGAGGAAGCTGGCGATTTAGAAAGTGTTTTGACACCTGAGTGGTCAGAGAAAGGACAGAGGTCCCAGTAAGGTCTCATTGCATCTTAAAGTAAATCGTGTTACCTCTCTTCAAACCTAGTCACACAATTGTTTGCAAAATAAAGGTAATTAAATGGACAAAGGCAAAGGTGGAAACTGTGCCTTGGAATCTTTACTTTCTCAGTTTGGCCAAGAGCTCTAGTTAAAAGAGAGGTTGGAAATAATAGGTAGCATGCTTTGCTTACTTATTTTGTGTCAAGCATGTACGTGCATCCTCATGTTTAATCCCCAGATTCGAAGGAGGCCTTGTAAAACTCCTCATTTATAAAGTTGGGATAACAGAGTTCAGAGGGGGTAAGTCACTTGTCCGAGCCATACAGGTACGCAGTCATTCGTGTTGTCGCCGCTGTGTTTCTGTAGGTGGCTTTGCTCTGATACGCCTCTGCTTGAACCATGAACCACGCCAGTGGCTGGCATGCTTCACTCGCTGCAGTCCTTTGAGGGTCTCTCATGCTGACAGGGGAGTTTAGGGAGCAGCTGTGTGATCACAGCACCTGGCTAATAGCAGTGTGTTTGCTGTTAATCGAGATTTTGCAGATCTCAATCTTGGAAACAACACTCTTAGACTGAATGATTCTGGGTGCCATAATGGAGCAGAGAGCACAGATGTGCACACACAGGCTCCTTGCATCATGCGTGTTTGCACGTGTGCAGTGTCCTCACTAGCAGGCTGTTTCCCCTACTCTGTTAACAGAACAGCAAAGCTTGTCAGAAGCAGCTGTTTGTAAAACAAACAAAATCCCTGATCCGATGGATCTTTGCACAGCCTGTGATGTGTTCTCCAGTCTTTTGAGGTGTCTTCCGGTTTTAGGGTAGAAATTCATATTTTTCTAGAAGTTAGCAGTGCTGAACCATTTATACCCTTAGGGCTAAAAGGAAGCGTATGATGCCTTCCTTGCTGTTGCGATCATT